CAAATCCGATATTTTCATACCACAAACAATAAAAAAAGAAACCGCTCCTATACTAAAAATAAATATTTTAACAACATACAAATAGGTCACATTTCTTTCCTCTCTCTAAGTGAAATTGGGTTATTACTCAAATGCGAACCGATAAGGATCACATCAATGATCATCCTGCTGAATCGCTCAGAACATGTATGATTAATAGAACTACAGTTTTTTCATGTGTTCAATATTTTCAGGTAATGCAGTTTCCGTCCATAACATTTATCTTTCAGGATCCAAATTACAGTTGTATCTTTCAACAGCATACCTTCAAGGCACTGATGCACTATGAAATAAATACACATTTTTTCATATACACAGCAAGTATTCACATGTACATACTAGTAAAGTATCAGGGTTTTCATATACATTGCAATACGAAGTATACAAATAAAGATGACATCAAATAAATATTTTTAACATAAAAAAATTTGATCAAATGAAATACAAATACATACATGAAGATGCACTATATTAAGTGGAAGACTTCACCAAGCATTTAGAATTATGGGATATTTTTTTTTCCAAACAATTCTATTATAAACAATAAACATTTACACAACAGGAAAAAAAAATTACAAGACATTTCATACGAAAACTGGTTAGGCAAAACATAAACAATGAACACTAAGAAGGAAAAAATTGTTTTGCAAATTTCTTTCATCATACAAATATTCATATTACTTATAGACAGCTATTAATATTAATATTACTATAACAAATCGAAAATATAATCTTAAATGAACTTACCTTCCAATAAAAACTATATTCTTTAGTTTCAATATCCTACATTTGGTGGAATTAAAACATCAAACATCACGTGCACCATCTTGCTACACTTGTCCTGACTTGATCTGACCACTTTATCAGCTGAGGGGTCACTTCAGGACAATAGCATTGTTTTGAGGAATGAATTCTATTGGATGTTTCCCACCCACAAACAGATATTGAGGGATATTGTATTTCAATAGCTATGATAGACAGTGTAAGTGGCAACAGTTTTTATTTTCCTCACTAAATGCCAACAGAGAGTGATGATTAAAGTGCATTCCTGCAATATGTTTTGATTCTGTGTTATATTATGTGTGACTTGATTTAGTGTAGAAATATAAATGTATAAAACCTTTTGTTTGTCTTTTTTTTTTCCCAACATTTATGTAACTAAGTATTTTCAATGAAAGACAGCCATACCTATAGCAACTTACTTGGATAGTTATTTATGTTTACAGAATTTAAATATATATATGCAGATCTGCTGCAGCACAGCATTTCTTCTAATCAGTAGGGGTATAGCTTCTCTGAAAAGTTATTGTTTTAACATTTCGTAAATTGGCTAATGCATTGACAGGATTACTTAAAATTTATGAATTATTAATTTCAGTATCTGATCTTTGTGAACATTTAGTTCTAAATTACTTACTTTGCATCTTTACTGATAATTTTTCAGCAGCTAAATGCACGAAAATACTAGGCGTGTGTGATATGAATTGAAGAACTACCAAGTTCAGTCAATTAATCAGTGTACACACACATCAGAAACTTAACAATATTTATTCAATGAATACTACTTCACTGTTCCGAAAAATAGAGTTCAATAAATTAACTGAGAAATAAATTTAAGAGATTTCATATAAACAAATTCTGCCAAACTACCTCAGTGCAAGGCAAAAAATATAGGCAATTGAAGAAGATGGAAAACAAAAAAAAAAAAAAAGAAGATTGCATTATATTTTCTTTTCTACAGCTCAATAACTGTTAAAAATGTCAAGAAATCAACTACGTTTTCGGTATGTACAGCACTTACAGCTTCTTTAGGGATTTGGTTGTGACCGAGAAGGGTTTGAAGTGGATAAGATGTCCCCTGACTGGCTAATAGGTAGATTTCGCTTCGGGTATCTTGGATGCAACCTATCTTGGATGCAACCTTGGATGCACTAAATTGGAATGAAGGAGTTCTTAAATTCTCTTTTGGTTCACAATATATTCATTCTTGTGCAGATTTTTCTACAGCACTTGTGCTTACCTATTCTGGCGAAGAAATGTTGACCGTGTACTGTGTACCTTTTATAGATTCATATTATTTAATTTTTTTTTAAAGTAAGTATATATACATTTTTAATTTTTTTTTCGTATACACAACTAGTTACTCACTCTACTTGTAGTAGAGTGCATATATAGGTAGTAGTGCATATATACAGTGAAACTATATGTACAGTAGTAGTAGTAGTAGTACAGTAGTAGTAGGAGTAGTATATACAGTAGTAGGAGTAGTATATACAGTAGGAGTAGTAGTAGGAGTGCATATATACAGTGAAACTATATGCCAGAAGTTTGTATAATGAAGCACTTCGCTAGTTGAAAGAGAAGGAATAACCAGTAAAATTAAATGTATATAATATACATTAGTTTTAATAAGAATAATATTCTGTAATTATGAATACTTGGTCATGAAATGCTTTTACTCAGTACAGTAAAATTTGATATAACAGGTTTAAATAATTTAGAGAAGAATCAAGAGGAATGACAATTCATGTTTCAACGATGAGTACGTAACAAATATTGCGAGGCTACGATTCTATTCGGATTCAAAACTCGGAATCTGATTGGCCAGACATAATAAGTACAGAGTTGATAAAAATGTCTGTCCAGGACCGTCGCCAGTCATTATTTCGTATACCCCACAAATAATATCGTCATGTCTGGTCGTGGAAAAGGTGGCAAAGTAAAGGGGAAGAGCAAGACTCGGTCCAGCCGTGCTGGTCTTCAGTTTCCTGTAGGTCGTATCCATCGTCTTCTGCGAAAGGGAAATTATGCAGAAAGAGTTGGTGCTGGAGCTCCAGTGTATCTTGCTGCAGTTTTAGAATATTTGGCAGCTGAGGTTCTTGAGTTGGCCGGTATAATGCTGCTAGAGATAACAAGAAGACCAGAATAATTCCAAGACATCTGCAGCTGGCCATCAGAAACGACGAGGAGTTGAATAAATTACTCTCTGGCGTCACAATTGCACAAGGTGGAGTTCTACCCAATATCCAGGCTGTTCTACTTCCCAAAAAAACCGAAAAGAAAGCATAATTCCTACTTCCCCTAACGCTACAAAAAAAAAAGGCCCTTTTAAGGGCCAGAAAATGTACGAAGAAGAGAATGCTTAATTGCTTATACTGAAAATTGCAGCATACGTTGCTAAATCTTTTCCATATATATATTTCATTCAAAATTCGCACAAAGATGTGCTCCCAGGACACATTCGTATATATTTTCATGTACATTATAAAACATTAACTCATGGGACTCGGAAAGAAAGGCTAATGCTAAGCTATAGGTGAAGGGAGTTTAAGGCGCATCTGAGAAGTGGCGCCATCTTGCTGTATACATTTGTACTGAAAAGTCGTTCTATTCTTAACTTTCGTAAGTTATTACAACGCACAGTTCGGTGTTTTAAGCCCCTTTTCAGAAATTACAAATAATTTAATTAGATGGAATAATTGCTATCACAATAGATCTTTATTTAAAAGAATGATCTAATGTAAAGTAAAAAAATTAATGTACAAAAAAAAGACGGAATACATGATAGCAATTATATTGAATCTTATTAAATTATTTGTATGGCCCTGAAAAGGGCCTTTTTTTTTTTTACTTTTAACAAATTATGATTTTAAGCTCTCTCTCCTCGAATACGACGGGCCAGCTGAATGTCTTTAGGCATGATGGTGACTCTCTTGGCGTGAATGGCGCACAAGTTGGTATCTTCGAACAATCCTACGAGGTAAGCTTCGCTGGCTTCCTGAAGAGCCATAACTGCCGAGCTCTGAAATCGGAGATCGGTCTTAAAATCTTGAGCAATTTTCTCTAACTAAGCGCTGGAAAGGCAATTTGCGGATAAGCAATTCCGTTGATTTCTGATAACGACGAATTTCTCTCAGAGCAACAGTACCTGGTCTGTAACGATGAGGTTTTTTAACACCTCCGGTTGCTGGTGCGCTTTTACGTGCAGCTTTGGTGGCCAGCTGCTTCCTAGGGAGCTTTACCTCCGGTACTTTTCCTTGCAGTCTGCTTTGTACGAGCCATATCGAGAGGCCGCGATTTCGTTAAAACGAGAAAATGTGCCCGCGAAATTTAGACCTGGCCTATTTATCAATTTTGTTTCCAATCACGTGACTAAGGAGACCTATTGCAGACGAAAGATTTCTAAGCGCCACCTAGCATTATTGTATAACATTAAAGTAACTCAGAAATTTGATTCATTTCTCTGCAAAACTGTGAGCGAGATGGCTGAAGAAACTGCTACTGTTTCCGCTACCCCTGTGGCTGCTACGCCAAAAAAGGCGAAGAAAAGTCCGAGTAAGAAACCGAAAGCGTTGCCGTCGCATCCTAAGGTTTCAGCAATGGTCGTGGAGGCTATTTCTAGTTTGAAGGAACGCGGTGGCTCATCTCTGCAAGCTATTAAGAAGCATATTGCATCACATCACAAGGTAGATATTGACCGTTTGACACCTTTCATCAAGAAATACTTAAAGAGTGCTGTAGCGGGTGGAAGCCTGGTTCAGACAAAAGGAAAAGGAGCTACCGGTTCATTTAAAGTAAGCGCATCCGGTCAGAAAGGTAAAGAGTCAGGAAAGCAAGAAAAGAAGCCTAAAAAAGCAGCTGCATCATCAGCCAAGAAGGCTAAACCAGCTGCTAAGAAACCAGCTAAGGCTAAAGAAGAGAAAAAGAAACCTGCCGCTAAGAAAGTGAGTGTTAAAAAGGCGAGTAAAGCAAAAAGCCCGAAGAAAGCGGTAAAGGCAGCGAAACCTAAGCCTCCTAAAGCGAAAAAACTTAAAGCTGCTAAAAAGGCGACACCAAAGAAAAGCAAGAAGTAAGGGATTGTGTATTGAAATGTACAAATGAAAAAAAAAAAAAAAAAAAAGGCTCTTTTCAGAGCCATACAAATTTTAAAAAAGAAATGCCTTTATTGCTCCTGAAGAAGAGAGTCCTATGTGTGACTACTCTAGATATTGATACTTAAGACTTAAAGTGGGATTTTTTTTTAAGTTTAAAATGTTGTATTTAATTTGTAATCTTGTTGTGAAATTTTAAATTACAGCTCTTTTTTTTTTTTAATTTAGAGACATAGAAGCAATTAACTTTAGAATTCAAATACATATATAGAACATTAAATGCTAATTTTAATTGGACTGAAATGTGACTCAAGAGAAAAGCATGAGGTGAAATTATATGACAGCAATAAAGGCATTTCTAAATTTTAAGATTTGTATGGCCCTGAAAAGGGCCTTTTTTTTTTTTTTTTTTTTTAAAGAGCAGGGTGTGGGGAAAGTAGAGGTCTCTAACCACCAAATCCGTAAAGTGTACGTCCCTGTCTCTTTAACGCATAAACGACATCCATGGCAGTGACAGTTTTCCTTTTTGCATGCTCAGTATAGGTAACTGCATCTCGAATAACATTTTCCAAGAAAACTTTAAGTACTCCTCTTGTCTCCTCATAGATGAGGCCCGAGATACGCTTTACACCGCCACGTCTTGCCAAACGCCTAATTGCAGGTTTGGTGATTCCTTGGATGTTATCTCTTAACACTTTGCGATGCCTTTTTGCACCCCCTTTGCCAAGACCTTTACCACCTTTCCCACGGCCAGACATTTTCTGCTAGGTCAAATTCTACGAACGTAACTTTCAAGAGTAAATTCAGATATACTGCGGGAACCACAGACGCGCGCATTTTTATGCTTTTTGTCACGTGACGAAATTAGTGTCTGTCCGACCAATAAGGAGAAATTATTAGGAGAGTGATAGAATTACAAACAATTAATGTCATTTCCATCCCTGTCTATGCTCCCTAGAATATTTCCCTAGTTCTTTTAACAGTTTTCTATAATACTTACGGTATTATAATCCAAAAGAGTTCTGAAGTACATGAAATTTTATTCCTGCAAGATGAACTAACTCCGCCCACACAACAGGGAAAAAAATACTGTAATAATCGTAGAATATATTAAAATTTCGGTCGTTGTCGAAGCCCTAGAGAAAGCTACTCAAACACTGTGTTGATTCATAATTAAGGAATTTGAGTTCACTATACATATATTAAAATATTGTATATTTAAGTAGAGACAAAATATGAAATACCGCTGTCATCGTAAATGTAGCATGTGTAAACTACGTGGTATTGAATATAAAGGCAATGCCAATGTTATTTACATCTACGTTATTATATACTTATATTAGGGAAAGAGGTATGATAAAGTAAGGTTCTTCCCTTTTTTATTTTAAGAATTTTTAATATACAGTGAAGAACTTTTAAGTTTTATTTATATTTACCTTATTTTCTGCACAATATACAAGCTTGCATTTCTTCAATTCTAATAAAGTACAGGTTTCCTATAATATAAAGACAAAAAAAAAAAGGTATTTTAAATAATTATTATTACTATGGAAGCATAAAAATTTGCAAGGGGACAAAAATATGTCAACAGCACGCGGTGTTCCCAGGTGGTCACCCTCCCAAGTACTGACCGCGCCCGATGCTGCTTGACTTCGGTGATCGGACGAGAACCGGTACTTTCAGCATGGTATGGCCGTTGACGCTTACAAATAGCGAAATAAACAATAAGTAACCCAAAATTCGAAGTTTTAGAGTATTACTTGATTTTGTGCACATCTGTCATATACTTTTATTAATAAGAGGGGTTTTATTTGTCATAAGTACTTCCTATTGGAAAAGAGATTCCCACCCCCCAAGGGAAGAACAAGAAAAAAAAAAAAAAAAAAAATCAATAAATTAGAAATTTAAAAAATGTGGCTCGTAACTATAATCCACAATATCAGTAATATGAAATTGTAATAACAATAATTTGTATATATATGTATTATAATGAACCTTTTCTGTCCAAGATAGGCTGTATTAGAACGTTTCTCATTGGATGGAAATGAAAAGAATGAAATTCAATAAATATGCTGCATCCAATGTGCCTTTTTTTGGATTTTCGTTCATTCGCAGACTCTTAAAAAATGCCTCCTCAAGCATCTGGGAAAGCTGTAAAGAAGGCCGGAAAGGCACAGAAAGCTGTCCGAGCTGGTGACAAGAAAAGAAAAAGAGGAAGAAGCGCAGGAAGGAATCTTTCGCTATTTACATCTACAAAGTTTTGAAACAAGTTCACCCCGACACTGGCATCTCGAGTAAGGCTATGTCTATCATGAATTCATTCGTTAATGACATCTTCGAAAGAATTGCAGCTGAATCTTCTCGCTTAGCTCATTACAATAAGAGGAGTACTATCACTAGCCGAGAAATACAAACTGCAGTACGTCTATTGTTGCCTGGTGAACTGGCAAAACATGCTGTTTCGGAAGGAACCAAAGCTGTCACCAAGTACACCAGCTCTAAGTAAATTTTCAAAGCTTTACCCATCAAAAAAGGCCCTTTTCAGGGCCAGAATATGATAAAGGTTAGCTGTTACCTGCTTATCCTTAAATCACTCATTGTTCAATTTATAATTTCATATTGGCATTTTTAAAATTAATTCACACTCTTTGCAAAAGAAATCGATCATATATATTTCAGCTCTACAAGTCATCATCTTTATCCTCATTGCTCTGCATCCAATTTCTTATCTTCAAAATGAGGATCTAATACACACACAATAACCGAATAAGGAAAAATTGTACTTTAGCAGTTAGTCCCAGCTCACTTATATACACACTGCTTTCCGGAAATCAGCCTTAATACATTTCAATGCAGGTGGTTTTTTCATAAGTTTGCTATTTATCAAAATGTATGCATATCAGTGTCGTAGTTTTCAGGTGTACGTATCACGAATCGTTTCACTAGCTCAGTCACAGCCTTTCTCCGAGTAACTGGAACGAAAACATTCAACGGTATGCAAAGCATAGCAAGTGCTGGCGGGACAGGAAACTGGCTAGCCTGCCCAGACGGGACAGTGGTTAGCGAAGCTAACTGCCGGGCCGGAAGGCCCGGGTTCGAATCCCAAAGGGGGGCAGGAAGGAAGGAAGGTAGGGGGTGGGGTGGGGATATCATCTGGATGAAATTTCTTCTCCGCAAATAAATCATATTTTTTTAATTAAAAAAAATTTAATTAAATATTTAAAAAATTCAGCTTTTGCCGGTTTATAATTAATAAACTCTGATGCATCACAAAATGCTATCTTTCTGTCACTGCTTTGCTTTCATAAATCCTCGCATGTTTCGCAAACGGTTTGACCACAGCCTTTCTCCGAGCCTATCGAAAGAATACATTCAACAAAGGTAAGATATAAGGAACATTTCATTCTCTTCGTGGCCACATTTATAATTTATAGACTTATTTTTCACATTTGCCGCATTAGAAAATACAGTCGTTTCCTCAGTTTCAGAACATATCATTTCCTTCGTTGCCACATTTATAATTTGTGGACTTACTTGTCGCATTAGAAAATACATTCGTCTCCTCATCGACTTCAAAAACTTTTCATTCACTTCGCTATCGCATTAGAAAATACAGTCGTTTCCTCAGTTTTTCATTGATTCTACAACTTAATACAAATGTGACATTTCTGAAACCATTTTTCATTAAAAAAAACCATATTTAAACATTTTTATTCATTAAAAAGTACATATTTTGACAACATTTCATACAACAAACATTGACATTTCATGCCACAAATCCGATATTTCATACCACAAACAATAAAAAAGAAACCGCACCTATACTAAAAATAATATTTTAACAACATACAAATAGGTCACATTTCATTTCTTCTCTCTCTCTCTAAAGTGGAAATTGGGTTATTACTCAAATGCGAACCGATAATGATCACATAAATGAATCATCCTGCTGAATCCGCTCAGAACATGTATGTAATATGATTAATAAGACTACTCAGTTTTTCATGTGTTCAATATTTTCAGTGTAATGCAGTTTCAGTCCATAACATTTATCTTTCATGATCCAAAATTACAGTTGTATCTTTCAACATGCATACCTTCAAGGCACTGATGCACTATGAAATAAATACACATTTTTTCATATACACAGCAAAGTATTCACATGTACATACATAGTAAAGTATTCAGGGTTTTCATATACATTGCAAATACGAAGTATACAAATAAAGATGACATCAAATAAATATTTTTAACATAAAAAAATATTGATCAAATGAAATACAAATACATAGCATGAAGATGCACTATATTAAGTGGAAGACTTCACACCAAGCATTTAGAATTATGGGATATTATTTTTTTCCAAAACAATTCTTATTATAAACAATAAACATTTACACAACAGGAAAAAAAAATTACAAGACATTTCATACGAAAAACCTGGTTAGGCAAAACATAAACAATGAACACTAAGAAGGAAAAAAAATTGTTTTGCAAATTTCTTTCATCATACAAATATTCATATTTCTATTAGACTTATAGACAGCTATTAATATTATATTACTTATTACAAATCGAAAATATAATCTTAAATGAACTTTACCTTCCAATAAAAACTATATTCTTTAGTTCAATATCCTACATTTGGTGGAATTAAAACATCAAACATCACATCACGTGCACCATCTTGCTACACTTGTCTGACTTGATCTGACCACTTTATCAGCTGAGGGGTCACTTCAGGACAATAGCATTGTTTTGAGGAATGAATTCTATTGGATGTTTCCCACCCACAAACATATATTGAGGGAGGGATATTGTATTTCAATAGCTATTTATAGACAGTGTAAGTGGCAACAGTTTTATTTCCTCACTAAATGCCAACAGAGAGTGATGATTAAAGTGCATTCCTGCAATATGTTTTGATTCTGTGTTATATTATATGTGTGACTTGATTTAGTGTAGAAATAAAATGTATAAAACCTTTTGTTTGTCTTTTTTTTTCCCAACATTTATGTAACTAAGTATTTTCAATGAAAGACAGCCATACCTATAGCAACTTACTTGGATAGTTATTTATGTTTACAGAATTTAAATATATATATGCAGATCTGCTGCAGCACAGCATTTCTTCTAATCAGTAGGGGTATAGCTTCTCTGAAAAGTTATTGTTTTAACATTTCGTAAATTGGCTAATGCATTGACAGGATTACTTAAAATTTATGAATTATTAATTTCAGTATCTGATCTTTGTGAACATTTAGTTCTAAATTACTTACTTTGCATCTTTACTGATAATTTTTCAGCAGCTAAATGCACGAAAATACTAGGCGTGTGTGTGATATGAATTGAAGAACTACCAAGTTCAGTCAATTAATCAGTGTACACACACATCAGAAACTTAACAATATTTATTCAATGAATACTACTTCACTGTTCCGAAAAATAGAGTTCAATAAATTAACTGAGAAATAAATTTAAGAGATTTCATATAAACAAATTCTGCCAAACTACCTCAGTGCAAGGCAAAAAATATAGGCAATTGAAGAAGATGGAAAACAAAAAAAAAAAAAAAAAAAAAAAAAGAAGATTGCATTATATTTTCTTTTCTAACAGCTCAATAACTGTTAAAAATGTCAAGAAATCAACTACGTTTTCGGTATGTACAGCACTTACAGCTTCTTTAGGGATTTGGTTGTGACCGAGAAGGGTTTGAAGTGGATAAGATGTCCCCTGACTGGCTAATAGGTAGATTTCGCTTCGGGTATCTTGGATGCAACCTATCTTGGATGCAACCTTGGATGCACTAAATTGGAATGAAGGAGTTCTTAAATTCTCTTTTGGTTCACAATATATTCATTCTTGTGCAGATTTTTTCTACAGCACTTGTGCTTACCTATTCTGGCGAAGAAATGTTGACCGTGTACTGTGTACCTTTTATAGATTCATATTATTTAATTTTTTTTTTTTTAAAGTAAGTATATATACATTTTTAATTTTTTTTTCGTATACACAACTAGTTACTCACTCTACTTGTAGTAGAGTGCATATATAGGTAGTAGTGCATATATACAGTGAAACTATATGTACAGTAGTAGTAGTAGTACAGTAGTAGTAGGAGTAGTATATACAGTGAAGTAGTAGGAGTGCATATATACAGTAGGAGTACAGTAGGAGTGCATATATACAGTGAAACTATATGCCAGAAGTTTGTATAATGAAGCATTTCGCTAGTTGAAAGAGAAGGAATAACCAGTAAAATTAAATGTATATAATATACATTAGTTTTAATAAGAATAATATTCTGTAATTATGAATACTTGGTCATGAAATGCTTTTACTCAGTACAGTAAAATTTGATATAACAGGTTTAAATAATTTAGAGAAGAATCAAGAGGAATGACAATTCATGTTTCAACGATGAGTACGTAACAAATATTGCGAGGCTACGATTCTATTCGGATTCAAAACTCGGGAATCTGATTGGCCAGACATAATAAGTACAGAGTTGATAAAAATGTCTGTCCAGGACCGTCGCCAGTCATTATTTCGTATACCCCACAAATAATATCGTCATGTCTGGTCGTGGAAAAGGTGGCAAAGTAAAGGGGAAGAGCAAGACTCGGTCCAGCCGTGCTGGTCTTCAGTTTCCTGTAGGTCGTATCCATCGTCTTCTGCGAAAGGGAAATTATGCAGAAAGAGTTGGTGCTGGAGCTCCAGTGTATCTTGCTGCAGTTTTAGAATATTTGGCAGCTGAGGTTCTTGAGTTGGCCGGTAATGCTGCTAGAGATAACAAGAAGACCAGAATAATTCCAAGACATCTGCAGCTGGCCATCAGAAACGACGAGGAGTTGAATAAATTACTCTCTGGCGTCACAATTGCACAAGGTGGAGTTCTACCCAATATCCAGGCTGTTCTACTTCCCAAAAAAACCGAAAAGAAAGCATAATTCCTACTTCCCCTAACGCTTCAAAAAAAAAAAAGGCCCTTTTAAGGGCCAGAAAATGTACGAAGAAGAGAATGCTTAATTGCTTATACTGAAAATTGCAGCATACGTTGCTAAATCTTTTCCATATATATATTTCATTCAAAATTCGCACAAAGATGTGCTCCCAGGACACATTCGTATATATTTTCATGTACATTATAAAACATTAACTCATGGGACTCGGAAAGAAAGGCTAATGCTAAGCTAACTATAGGTGAAGGGAGTTTAAGGCGCATCTGAGAAGTGGCGCCATCTTGCTGTATACATTTGTACTGAAAAGTCGTTCTATTCTTAACTTTCGTAAGTTATTACAACGCACAGTTCGGTGTTTTAAGCCCCTTTTCAGAAATTACAAATAATTTAATTAGATGGAATAATTGCTATCACAATAGATCTTTATTTAAAAGAATGATCTAATGTAAAGTAAAAAAATTAATGTATACAAAAAAAAGACGGAATACATGATAGCAATTATATTGAATCTTATTAAATTATTTGTATGGCCCTGAAAAGGGCCTTTTTTTTTTTTACTTTTAACAAATTATGATTTTAAGCTCTCTCTCCTCGAATTACGACGGGCCAGCTGAATGTCTTTAGGCATGATGGTGACTCTCTTGGCGTGAATGGCGCACAAGTTGGTATCTTCGAACAATCCTACGAGGTAAGCTTCGCTGGCTTCCTGAAGAGCCATAACTGCCGAGCTCTGAAATCGGAGATCGGTCTTAAAATCTTGAGCAATTTCTCTAACTAAGCGCTGGAAAGGCAATTTGCGGATAAGCAATTCCGTTGATTTCTGATAACGACGAATTTCTCTCAGAGCAACAGTACCTGGTCTGTAACGATGAGGTTTTTTTTTTAACACCTCCGGTTGCTGGTGCGCTTTTACGTGCAGCTTTGGTGGCCAGCTGCTTCCTAGGAGCTTTACCTCCGGTACTTTTCCTTGCAGTCTGCTTTGTACGAGCCATATCGAGAGGTCGCGATTTCGTTAAAACGAGAAAATGTGCCCGCGAAATTTAGACCTGGCCTATTTATCAATTTTGTTTCCAATCACGTGACTAAGGAGACCTATTGCAGACGAAAGATTTCTAAGCGCCACCTAGCATTATTGTATAACATTAAAAGTAACTCAGAAATTTGATTCATTTCTCTGCAAAACTGTGAGCGAGATGGCTGGCTGAAGAAACTGCTACTGTTTCCGCTACCCCTGTGGCTGCTACGCCAAAAAAGGCGAAGAAAAGTCCGAGTAAGAAACCGAAAGCGTTGCCGTCGCATCCTAAGGTTTCAGCAATGGTCGTGGAGGCTATTTCTAGTTTGAAGGAACGCGGTGGCTCATCTCTGCAAGCTATTAAGAAGCATATTGCATCACATCACAAGGTAGATATTGACCGTTTGACACCTTTCATCAAGAAATACTTAAAGAGTGCTGTAGCGGGTGGAAGCCTGGTTCAGACAAAAGGAAAAGGAGCTACCGGTTCATTTAAAGTTAGCGCATCCGGTCAGTCAGAAAGGTAAAGAGTCAGGAAAGCAAGAAAAGAAGCCTAAAAAAGCAGCTGCATCATCAGCCAAGAAAGCTAAACCAGCTGCTAAGAAACCAGCTAAGGCTAAAAGAGAGAAAAGAAACCTGCCGCTAAGAAAGTTGAGTGTTAAAAAGGCGAGTAAAGCAAAAAGCCCGAAGAAGAAAGCTGTAAAGGCAGCGAAACCTAAGCCTCCTAAAGCGAAAAAAACTTAAAGCTGCTAAAAAGGCGACACCAAAGAAAAGCAAGAAGTAAGGGATTGTGTATTGAAATGTACAAATGAAAAAAAAAAAAAAAAAAAAAGGCTCTTTTCAGAGCCATACAAATTTTAAAAAAGAAATGCCTTTATTGCTCCTGAAGAAGAGAGTCCTATGTGTGACTACTCTAGATATTGATACTTTTTTTAAGACTTAAAGTGGGATTTTTTTTTAAGTTTAAAATGTTGTATTTAATTTGTAATCTGTGTTGTGAAATTTTAAATTACAGCTCTTTTTTTTTTTTTTAATTTAGAGACATAGAAGCAATTAACTTTAGAATTCAAATACATATATAGAACATTTAAATGCTAATTTTAATTGGACTGAAATGTGACTCAAGAGAAAAGCATGAGGTGAAATTATATGACAGCAATAAAGGCATTTCTAAATTTTAAGATTTGTATGGCCCTGAAAAGGGCCTTTTTTTTTTTTTTTTTTTTAAAGAGCAGGGGTGTGGGGAAAGTAGAGGTCTCTAACCACCAAATCCGTAAAGTGTACGTCCCTGTCTCTTTAACGCATAAACGACATCCATGGCAGTGACAGTTTTCCTTTTTGCATGCTCAGTATAGGTAACTGCATCTCGAATAACATTTTCCAAGAAAACTTTAAGTACTCCTCTTGTCTCCTCATAGATGAGGCCCCGAGATACGCTTTACACCGCCACGTCTTGCCAAACGCCTAATTGCAGGTTTGGTGATTCCTTGGATGTTATCTCTTAACACTTTGCGATGCCTTTTTGCACCCCCTTTGCCAAGACCTTTACCACCTTTCCCACGGCCAGACATTTTCTGCTAGGTCAAATTCTACGAACGTAACTTTCAAGAGTAAATTCAGATATACTGCCGGGAACCACAGACGCGCGCATTTTTATGCTTTTTGTCACGTGACGAAATTAGTGTCTGTCCGACCAATAAGGAGAAATTATTAGGAGAGTGATAGAATTACAAACAATTAATGTCATTTCCATCCCTGTCTATGCTCCCTAGAATATTTCCTAGTTCTTTTAACAGTTTTCTATAATACTTACGGTATTATAATCCAAAAGAGTTCTGAAGTACATGAAATTTTATTCCTGCAAGATGAACTAACTCCGCCCACACAACAGGGAAAAAAATACTGTAATAATCGTAGAATATATTAAAATTTCGGTCGTTGTCGAAGCCCTAGAGAAAGCTACTCAAACACTGTGTTGATTCATAATTAAGGAATTTGAGTTCACTATACATATATTAAAATATTGTATATTTAAGTAGAGACAAAATATGAAATACCGCTGTCATCGTAAATGTAGCATGTGTAAACTACGTGGTATTTGAATATAAAGGCAATGCCAATGTTATTTACATCTACGTTATTATATACTTATATTAGGGAAGAGGTATGATAAAGTAAGGTTCTTCCCTTTTTTATTTTAAGAATTTTTAATATACAGTGAAGAACTTTTAAGTTTTATTTATATTTACCTTATTTTCTGCACAATATACAAGCTTGCATTTCTTCAATTGTAATAAAGTACAGGTTTCCTATAATATAAAGACAAAAAAAAAAAAGTATTTTAAATAATTATTATTACTATGGAAGCATAAAATTTGCAAGGGGACAAAAAATGTCAACAGCACGCGGTGTTCCCAGGTGGTCACCCTCCCAAGTACTGACCGCGCCCGATGCTGCTTGACTTCGGACCAAGGACCAAGGCGTTTGAATTACGGAGTACCTTTGCAATTAAATGCAATTACCTCCACATCTTCGTTCAGAAATTGGAATGATTAAGAGAAAGCATTAGCTAAAGTTTGTGAAAGAAGCAATTATGCTAAAAAACAAGAATCGATAAGGGTCCTCTTGTTTAGGACACAGGAGGAAGGCGCAAGCATTGATCACAATGGGTCAACCGCTTGCTCACGGAAACAATAGGAGGGCAGCCAGCACGCTGGGCGTGAATGGTTGCCATGGATACGAAACAGTTGAAGGAGAGAGGCGCGGAAAACCGGGCCTCGGGAAAGGTAAGGTAGCTGTATTCAAGCTTTTAGCTAAGAGCCTTGGGGTGGTCGGTGGGGGGACGAGGTCATTGACCGAAGAAGGCGAGAGAGTCGAAAGCGCTTTAGAGAGAAAAAATAGAAGTAATCTTTGAGTGAATTGAAGAAATGCAGCTTGTATTGCAGGGATGAAACTTTAGCTAGAGGAAAAAAGATAATAATTTAATAAATTTTTTTGAAGTTATATAATCTTATTGAGATTTTATCTTATAGAGATAAAAATAATTAAAAGTGATACTTGAAGTTTTAGATGGTTAGTATTTGGAATTATAGTAATTACATTTATTCTTTGGCATTTAGAGGTTTGGCAAGATGGGTATTAAATAAAATATAGCAGCACGGTGATGGATTCGCGAAAAGCTATGCCAGATTAGGTCTGGGGGGAATAAGTTAATTAGCTGGGTTAGGCCCGTGAAGTACTGATAGTTTAGTCAGATGAGGTTCCCCGATCAAGCAAACAACCCTTTTAGGCCGCCTAGGGAAGATGTTATAATCTGTCCATGACAGCCCTAGGTCTTTTAGCAGAACTAGGTTCTGCTGGGTTATAGGCAGGAATGTTGTGCAGGACCGGGTTGCTAATCTGTTCAATTCTATTGAAAATTTTCGAAATGTGCTTGAAATAAGCATCCAGGGGAAAATTTTGAGGTCAGAATGGAGTAATTGCGTAATACCAGTGAATTAAATGCGAAGCGTGACGTTTTGAAAGACTTGGATCTTCTTGAGATGTGAGTTAGCTGCATGGCCCAGATGGGTGCGGCGTACGTCAGTATTGGCATGATGGTGCTTGTATAGAGTAGGAGCTTGTTGCGAAGAGACAATGGCTGGATCGGGAAAGTTGCAAGTTGGTTCCGGTGGTTTTAGCTTTGCTTATTGCGTATGAGATATGGACGCCCCAGATTAGCTTGCATCAGGTAAACTCCGAGATATTTGTAGTGGTCCACCAAGGTACGTTTTCATTGTAGAGCTTGAGTGGTTGGAGTTGGCTGTGAACATTCCTTTTTCCCAGGTGGTCTCCCCCCAGGAGCTTGACTTCGGTGATCGGACGAGAACCGGTACTTTCAGCATGGTATGGCCGTTGACGCTTACAAATAGCGAAATAAACAATAAGTAACCCAAAATTCGAAGTTTTAGAGTATTACTTGATTTTGTGCACATCTGTCATATACTTTTATTAATAAGAGGGGTTTTATTTGTCATAAGTACTTCCTATTGGAAAAGAGATTCCCACCCCCCAAGGGAAGAACAAGAAAAAAAAAAAAAAAAAAAATCAATAAATTAGAAATTTAAAAAAATGTGGCTCGTAACTATAATCCACAATATCAGTAATATGAAATTGTAATAACAATAATTTGTATATATATGTATTATAATGAACCTTTTCTGTCCAAGATAGGCTGTATTAGAACGTTTCTCATTGGATGGAAATGAAAAGAATGAAATTCAATAAATATGCTGCATCCAATGTGCCTTTTTTTGGATTTTCGTTCATTCGCAGACTCTTAAAAAATGCCTCCTCAAGCATCTGGGAAAGCTGTAAAGAAGGCCGGAAAGGCACAGAAAGCTGTCCGAGCTGGTGACAAGAAAAAGAGGAAGAAGCGCAGGAAGGAATCTTTCGCTATTTACATCTACAAAGTTTTGAAACAAGTTCACCCGACACTGGCATCTCGAGTAAGGCTATGTCTATCATGAATTCATTCGTTAATGACATCTTCGAAAGAATTGCAGCTGAATCTTCTCGCTTAGCTCATTACAATAAGAGGAGTACTATCACTAGCCGAGAAATACAAACTGCAGTACGTCTATTGTTGCCTGGTGAACTGGCAAAACATGCTGTTTTCGGAAGGAACCAAAGCTGTCACCAAGTACACCAGCTCTAAGTAAATTTTCAAAGCTTTACCCATCAAAAAAGGCCCTTTTCAGGGCCAGAATATGATAAAGGTTAGCTGTTACCTGCTTATCCTTAAATCACTCATTGTTCAATTTATAATTTCATATTGGCATTTTTAAAATTAATTCACACTCTTTGCAAAAGAAATCGATCATATATATTTCAGCTCTACAAGTCATCATCTTTATCCTCATTGCTCTGCATCCAATTTCTTATCTTCAAAATGAGGATCTAATACACACACAATAACCGAATAAGGAAAAATTGTACTTTAGCAGTTAGTCCCAGCTCACTTATATACACACTGCTTTCCGGAAATCAGCCTTAATACATTTCAATGCAGGTGGTTTTTCATAAGTTTGCTATTTATCAAAATGTATGCATATCAGTGTCGTAGTTTTCAGGTGTACGTATCACGAATCGTTTCACTAGCTCAGTCACAGCCTTTCTCCGAGTAACTGGAACGAAAACATTCAACGGTATGCAAAGCATAGCAAGTGCTGGCGGGACAGGAAACTGGCTAGCCTGCCCAGACGGGACAGTGGTTAGCGAAGCTAACTGCCGGGCCGGAAGGCCCGGGTTCGAATCCCAAAGGGGGGCAGGAAGGAAGGAAGGTAGGGGGTGGGGTGGGGATATCATCTGGATGAAATTTCTTCTCCGCAAATAAATCATATTTTTTTAATTAAAAAAAATTTAATTAAATATTTAAAAAATTCAGCTTTTGCCGGTTTATAAATTAATAAACTCTGATGCATCACAAAATGCTATCTTTCTGTCACTGCTTTGCTTTCATAAATCCTCGCATGTTTCGCAAACGGTTTGACCACAGCCTTTCTCCGAGCCTATCGAAAGAATACATTCAACAAAGGTAAGATATAAGGAACATTTCATTCTCTTCGTGGCCACATTTATAATTTATAGACTTATTTTTCACATTTGCCGCATTAGAAAATACAGTCGTTTCCTCAGTTTCAGAACATATCATTTCCTTCGTTGCCACATTTATAATTTGTGGACTTACTTGTCGCATTAGAAAATACATTCGTCTCCTCATCGACTTCAAAAACTTTTCATTCACTTCGCTATCGCATTAGAAAATACAGTCGTTTCCTCAGTTTTTCATTGATTCTACAACTTAATACAAATGTGACATTTCTGAAACCATTTTTCATTAAAAAAAAACCATATTTAAAACATTTTTATTCATTAAAAAGTACATATTTTGACAACATTTCATACAACAAACATTGACATTTCATGCCACAAATCCGATATTTCATACCACAAACAATAAAAAAAGAAACCGCTACCTATACTAAAATAAAATATTTTAACAACATACAAATAGGTCACATTTCATTTCTTTCTCTCTCTCTAAAGTGGAAATTGGGTTATTACTCAAATGCGAACCGATAATGATCACATAAATGAATCATCCTGCTGAATCCGCTCAGAACATGTATGTAATATGATTAATAAAGACTACTCAGTTTTTCATGTGTTCAATATTTTCAGTGTAATGCAGTTTCAGTCCATAACATTTATCTTTCATGATCCAAAATTACAGTTGTATCTTTCAACATGCATACCTTCAAGGCACTGATGCACTATGAAATAAATACAAACATTTTTTCATATACACAGCAAAGTATTCACATGTACATACATAGTAAAGTATTCAGGGTTTTCATATACATTGCAAATACGAAGTATACAAATAAAGATGACATCAAATAAATATTTTTAACATAAAAAAAATATTTGAATCAAATGAAATACAAATACATAGCATGAAGATGCACTATATTAAGTGGAAGACTTCACCAAGCATTTAGAATTATGGGATATTATTTTTTTTCACAAAACAATTCTTATTATAAACAATAAACATTTACACAACAGGAAAAAAAAATTACAAGACATTTCATACGAAAAACCTGGTTAGGCAAAACATAAACAATGAACACTAAGAAGGAAAAAAATTGTTTTGGCAAATTTCTTTCATCATACAAATATTCATATTACTTATAGACAGCTATTAATATTAATATTACTTATTACAAATCGAAAATATAATCTTAAATGAACTTACCTTCCAATAAAAACTATATTCTTTAGTTCAATATCCTACATTTGGTGGAATTAAAACATCAAACATCACATGCACCATCTTGCTACACCTTGTCTGACCTTGATCTGACCACTTTATCAGCTGAGGGGTCACTTCAGGACAATAGCATTGTTTTGAGGAATGAATTCTATTGGATGTTTCCCACCCACAAACAGATATTGAGGGATATTGTATTTCAATAGCTATTTATAGACAGTGTAAGTGGCAACAGTTTTATTTCCTCACTAAATGCCAACAGAGAGTGATGATTAAAGTGCATTCCTGCAATATGTTTTTGATTCTGTGTTATATTATGTGTGACTTGATTTAGTGTAGAAATAAAATGTATAAAACCTTTTGTTTGTCTTTTTTTTCCCAACATTTATGTAACTAAGTATTTTCAATGAAAGACAGCCATACCTATAGCAACTTACTTGGATAGTTATTTATGTTTAACAGAATTTAAATATATATATGCAGATTTGCTGCAGCACAGCATTTCTTCTAATCAGTAGGGGTATAGCTTCTCTGAAAAGTTATTGTTTTAACATTTCGTAAATTGGCTAATGCATTGACAGGATTACTTAAAATTTATGAATTATTAATTTCAGTATCTGATCTTTGTCAACATTTAGTTCTAAATTACTTACTTTCCGTCTTTACTGATAATTTTTCAGCAGCTAAATGCACGAAAATACTAGGCGTGTGTGATATGAATTGAAGAACTACCAAGTTCAGTCAAGTAATCAGTGTACACACACACATCAGAAACTTAACAATATTTATTCAATGAATACTACTTACTACTTCACTGTTCCGAAAAATAGAGTTCAATAAATTAACTGAGAAATAAATTTAAGAGATTTCATATAAACCAAATTTCTGCCAAACTACCTCAGTGCAAGGCAAAAAATATAGGCAATTGAAGAAGATGGAAAACAAAAAAAAAAAAAAAAAAGAAGATTGCATTATATTTTCTTTTCTAACAGCTCAATAACTGTTAAAAATGTCAAGAAATCAACTACGTTTTCGGTATGTACAGCACTTACAGCTTCTTTAGGGATTTTGGTTGTGACCGAGAAGGGTTTGAAGTGGATAAGATGTTCCCCTGACTGGCTAATAGGTAGATTTCGCTTCGGGTATCTTGGATGCAACCTATCTTGGATACCTTGGATGCACTAAATTGGAATTGAAGGAGTTCTTAAATTCTCTTTTGGTTCACAATATATTCATTCTTGTGCAGATTTTTCTACAGCACTTGTGCTTACCTATTCTGGCGAAGAAATGTTGACCGTGTACTGTGTACCTTTTATAGATTCATATTATTTAATTTTTTTTTAAAGTAAGTATATATACATTTTTAATTTTTTTTTCGTATACACAACTAGTTACTCACTCTACTTGTAGTAGAGTGCATATATAGGTAGTAGTGCATATATACAGTGAAACTATATGTACAGTAGTAGTAGTAGTACAGTAGTAGTAGGAGTAGTATATACAGTGAAGTAGTAGGAGTGCATATATACAGTAGGAGTACAGTAGGAGTGCATATATACAGTGAAACTATATGCCAGAAGTTTGTATAATGAAGCATTTCGCTAGTTGAAAGAGAAGGAATAACCAGTAAAATTAAATGTATATAATATACATTAGTTTTAATAAGAATAATATTCTGTAATTATGAATACTTGGTCATGAAATGCTTTTACTCAGTACAGTAAAATTTGATATAACAGGTTTAAATAATTTAGAGAAGAATCAAGAGGAATGACAATTCATGTTTCAACGATGAGTACGTAACAAATATTGCGAGGCTACGATTCTATTCGGATTCAAAACTCGGAATCTGATTGGCCAGACATAATAAGTACAGAGTTGATAAAAATGTCTGTCCAGGACCGTCGCCAGTCATTATTTCGTATACCCCACAAATAATATCGTCATGTCTGGTCGTGGAAAAGGTGGCAAAGTAAAGGGGAAGAGCAAGACTCGGTCCAGCCGTGCTGGTCTTCAGTTTCCTGTAGGTCGTATCCATCGTCTTCTGCGAAAGGGAAATTATGCAGAAAGAGTTGGTGCTGGAGCTCCAGTGTATCTTGCTGCAGTTTTAGAATATTTGGCAGCTGAGGTTCTTGAGTTGGCCGGTAATGCTGCTAGAGATAACAAGAAGACCAGAATAATTCCAAGACATCTGCAGCTGGCCATCAGAAACGACGAGGAGTTGAATAAATTACTCTCTGGCGTCACAATTGCACAAGGTGGAGTTCTACCCAATATCCAGGCTGTTCTACTTCCCAAAAAAAAACCGAAAAGAAAGCATAATTCCTACTTCCCCTAACGCTTACAAAAAAAAAAAGGCCCTTTTAAGGGCCAGAAAATGTACGAAGAAGAGAATGCTTAATTGCTTATACTGAAAATTGCAGCATACGTTGGCTAAATCTTTTCCATATATATATTTCATTCAAAATTCGCACAAAGATGTGCTCCCAGGACACATTCGTATATATTTTCATGTACATTATAAAACATTAACTCATGGGACTCGGAAAGAAAGGCTAATGCTAAAGCTATAGGTGAAGGGAGTTTAAGGCGCATCTGAGAAGTGGCGCCATCTTGCTGTATACATTTGTACTGAAAAGTCGTTCTATTCTTAACTTTCGTAAGTTATTACAACGCACAGTTCGGTGTTTTAAGCCCCTTTTCAGAAATTACAAATAATTTAATTAGATGGAATAATTGCTATCACAATAGATCTTTATTTAAAAGAATGATCTAATGTAAAGTAAAAAAATTAATGTACAAAAAAAAGACGGAATACATGATAGCAATTATATTGAATCTTATTAAATTATTTGTATGGCCCTGAAAAGGGCCTTTTTTTTTTTTACTTTTAACAAATTATGATTTTAAGCTCTCTCTCCTCGAATTACGACGGGCCAGCTGAATGTCTTTAGGCATGATGGTGACTCTCTTGGCGTGAATGGCGCACAAGTTGGTATCTTCGAACAATCCTACGAGGTAAGCTTCGCTGGCTTCCTGAAGAGCCATAACTGCCGAGCTCTGAAATCGGAGATCGGTCTTAAAATCTTGAGCAATTTCTCTAACTAAGCGCTGGAAAGGCAATTTGCGGATAAGCAATTCCGTTGATTTCTGATAACGACGAATTTCTCTCAAGAGCAACAGTACCTGGTCTGTAACGATGAGGTTTTTTAACACCTCCGGTTGCTGGTGCGCTTTTACGTGCAGCTTTGGTGGCCAGCTGCTTCCTAGGAGCTTTACCTCCGGTACTTTTCCTTGCAGTCTGCTTTGTACGAGCCATATCGAGAGGCCGCGATTTCGTTAAAACGAGAAAATGTGCCCGCGAAATTTAGACCTGGCCTATTTATCAATTTTGTTTCCAATCACGTGACTAAGGAGACCTATTGCAGACGAAAGATTTCTAAGCGCCACCTAGCATTATTGTATAACATTAAAGTAACTCAGAAATTTGATTCATTTCTCTGCAAAACTGTGAGCGAGATGGCTGAAGAAACTGCTACTGTTTCCGCTACCCCTGTGGCTGCTACGCCAAAAAAGGCGAAGAAAAGTCCGAGTAAGAAACCGAAAGCGTTGCCGTCGCATCCTAAGGTTTCAGCAATGGTCGTGGAGGCTATTTCTAGTTTGAAGGAACGCGGGTGGCTCATCTCTGCAAGCTATTAAGAAGCATATTGCATCACATCACAAGGTAGATATTGACCGTTTGACACCTTTCATCAAGAAATACTTAAAGAGTGCTGTGGCGGGTGGAAAGCCTGGTTCAGACAAAAGGAAAAGGAGCTACCGGTTCATTTAAAGTTAAGCGCATCCGGTCAGAAAGGTAAAGAGTCAGGAAAGCAAGAAAAGAAGCCTAAAAAAGCAGCTGCATCATCAGCCAAGAAAGGCTAAACCAGCTGCTAAGAAACCAGCTAAGGCTAAAGAAGAGAAAAAGAAACCTGCCGCTAAGAAAGTTGAGTGTTAAAAAGGCGAGTAAAGCAAAAAGCCCGAAGAAAGCGGTAAAGGCAGCGAAACCTAAGCCTCCTAAAGCGAAAAAAACTTAAAGCTGCTAAAAAGGCGACACCAAAGAAAAGCAAGAAGTAAGGGATTGTGTATTGAAATGTACAAATGAAAAAAAAAAAAAAAAAAAAAGGCTCTTTTCAGAGCCATACAAATTTTAAAAAAGAAATGCCTTTATTGCTTCCTGAAGAAGAGAGTCCTATGTGTGACCTACTCTAGATATTGATACTTTTTTTCAAAGACTTAAAGTGGGATTTTTTTTTAAGTTTAAAATGTTGTATTTAATTTGTAATCTTGCTTGTGAAATTTTAAATTACAGCTCTTTTTTTTTTTTTAATTTAGAGACATAAGAAGCAATTAACTTTAGAATTCAAATACATATATAGAACATTTAAATGCTAATTTTAATTGGACTGAAATGTGACTCAAGAGAAAAGCATGAGGTGAAATTATATGACAGCAATAAAGGCATTTCTAAATTTTAAGATTTGTATGGCCCTGAAAAGGGCCTTTTTTTTTTTTTTTTTTTTTTTTTAAAGAGCAGGGTGTGGGGAAAGTAGAGGTCTCTAACCACCAAATCCGTAAAGTGTACGTCCCTGTCTCTTTAACGCATAAACGACATCCATGGCAGTGACAGTTTTCCTTTTTGCATGCTCAGTATAGGTAACTGCATCTCGAATAACATTTTCCAAGAAAACTTTAAGTACTCCTCTTGTCTCCTCATAGATGAGGCCCGAGATACGCTTTACACCGCCACGTCTTGCCAAACGCCTAATTGCAGGTTTGGTGATTCCTTGGATGTTATCTCTTAACACTTTGCGATGCCTTTTTGCACCCCCTTTGCCAAGACCTTTACCACCTTTTCCCACGGCCAGACATTTTCTGCTAGGTCAAATTCTACGAACGTAACTTTCAAGAAGTAAATTCAGATATACTGCGGTCGAACCACAGACGCGCGCATTTTTATGCTTTTTGTCACGTGACGAAATTAGTGTCTGTTCCGACCAATAAGGAGAAATTATTAGGAGGAGTGATAGAATTACAAACAATTAATGTCATTTCCATCCCTGTCTATGCTCCCTAGAATATTTCCCTAGTTCTTTTAACAGTTTTCTATAATACTTACGGTATTATAATCCAAAAGAGTTCTGAAGTACATGAAATTTTATTCCTGCAAGATGAACTAACTCCGCCCACACAACAGGGGAAAAAAATACTGTAATAATCGTAGAATATATTAAAATTTCGGTCGTTGTCGAAGCCCTAGAGAAAGCTACTCAAACACTGTGTTGATTCATAATTAAGGAATTTGAGTTCACTATACATATATTAAAATATTGTATATTTAAGTAGAGACAAAATATGAAATACCGCTGTCATCGTAAATGTAGCATGTGTAAACTACGTGGTATTTGAATATAAAGGCAATGCCAATGTTATTTACATCTACGTTATTATATACTTATATTAGGGAAGAGGTATGATAAAGTAAGGTTCTTCCCTTTTTTATTTTAAGAATTTTTAATATACAGTGAAGAACTTTTAAGTTTTATTTATATTTACCTTATTTTCTGCACAATATACAAGCTTGCATTTCTTCAATTCTAATAAAGTACAGGTTTCCTATAATATAAAGACAAAAAAAAAAAGGTATTTTAAATAATTATTATTACTAATGGAAGCATAAAAATTTGCAAGGGGACAAAAATAGTGTCAACAGCACGCGGTGTTCCCAGGTGGTCACCCTCCCAAGTACTGACCGCGCCCGATGCTGCTTGACTTCGGTGATCGGACGAGAACCGGTACTTTCAGCATGGTATGGCCGTTGACGCTTACAAATAGCGAAATAAACATATGTAAGTAACCCAAAATTTCGAAGTTTTAGAGTATTACTTTATTTTGTGCACGTCTGTCATATACTTTTATCAATAAGAGGGGTTTTATTTCCGTCATAAGTACTTCCCTATTGGAAAAGAGATTTCCCACCCCCCAAGGGAAGAACAAGAAAAAAAAAAAAAAAAAATCAATAAATTAGAAATTTAAAAAAATGTGGCTCGTAAAACTATAATCCAATATCAGTAATATGAAATTGTAATAACAATAATTTGTATATATATGTATTATAATGAACCTTTTCTCTCCAAGATAGGCTGTATTAGAACGTTTCTCATTGGATGGAAATGAAAAGAATGAAATTCAATAAATATGCTGCATCCAATGTGCACTTTTTTTTGGATTTTCGTTCATTCGCAGACTCTTAAAAAATGCCTCCTCAAGCATCTGGGAAAGCTGTAAAGAAGGCCGGAAAGGCACAGAAAGCTGTCCGAGCTGGTGACAAGAAAAAGAGGAAGAAGCGCAGGAAGGAATCTTTCGCTATTTACATCTACAAAGTTTTGAAACAAGTTCACACCCCGACACTGGCATCTCGAGTAAGGCTATGTCTATCATGAATTCATTCGTTAATGACATCTTCGAAAGAATTGCAGCTGAATCTTCTCGCTTAGCTCATTACAACAATAAGAGGAGTACTATCACTAGCCGAGAAATACAAACTGCAGTACGTCTATTGTTGCCTGGTGAACTGGCAAAACATGCTGTTTCGGAAGGAACCAAAGCTGTCACCAAGTACACCAGCTCTAAGTAAATTTTCAAAGCTTTCCCCATCAAAAAAGGCCCTTTTCAGGGCCAGAATATGATAAAGGTTAGCTGTTACCTGCTTATCCTTAAATCACTCATTGTTCAATTTATAATTTCATATTGGCATTTTTAAAATTAATTCACACTCTTTGCAAAAGAAATTCGATCATATATATTTCAGCTCTACAAGTCATCATCTTTATCCTCATTGCTCTGCATCCAATTTCTTATCTTCAAAATGAGGATCTAATACACACACAATAACCGAATAAGGAAAAATTGTACTTTAGCAGTTAGTCCCAGCTCACTTATATACACACTGCTTTCCGGAAATCAGCCTTAATACATTTCAATGCAGGTGGTTTTTCATAAGTTTGCTATTTATCAAAATGTATGCATATCAGTGTCATAGTTTTCAGGTGTACGTATCACGAATCGTTTCACTAGCTCAGTCACAGCCTTTCTCCGAGTAACTGGAACGAAAACATTCAATGGTATGCAAAGCATAGCAAGTGCTGGCGGGACAGGAAACTGGCTAGCCTGCCCAGACGGGACAGTGGTTAGCGAAGCTAACTGCCGGGCCGGAAGGCCCGGGTTCGAATCCCAAAGGGGGGCAGGAAGGAAGGAAGGTAGGGGGTGGGGTGGGGATATCATCTGGATGAAATTTCTTCTCCGCAAATAAATCATATTTTTTTAATTAAAAAAAATTTAATTAAATATTTAAAAAATTCAGCTTTTGCCGGTTTATAAATTAATAAACTATGATGCATCACAAAATGCTATCTTTTGTCACTGCTTTGCTTTCATAAATCCTCGCATGTTTCGCAAACGGTTTGACCACAGCCTTTCTCCGAGCCTATCGAAAGAATACATTCAACAAAGGTAAGATATAAGGAACATTTCTTTCTCTTCGTGGCCACATTTATAATTTATAGACTTATTTTTCACATTTGCCGCATTAGAAAATACAGTCGTTTCCTCAGTTTCAGAACATATCATTTCCTTCGTTGCCACATTTATAATTTGTGGACTTACTTGTCGCATTAGAAAATACATTCGTCTCCTCATCGACTTCAAAAACTTTTCATTCACTTCGCTATCGCATTAGAAAATACAGTCGTTTCCTCAGTTTTTCATTGATTCTACAACTTAATACAAATGTGACATTTCTGAAACCATTTTTCATTAAAAAAACCATATTTAAACATTTTTATTGATTAAAAGTACATATTTTGACAACATTTCATACAACAAACATTGACATTTCATGCCACAAATCCGATATTTCATACCACAAACAATAAAAAAAGAAACCGCTACCTATACTAAAAATAAATATTTTAACAACATACAAATAGGTCACATTTCATTTCTTCTCTCTCTCTAAAGTGGAAATTGGGTTATTACTCAAATGCGAAACCGATAATGATCACATCAATGAATCATCCTGCTGAATCCGCTCAGAACATGTATGTAATATGATTAATAAGACTACTCAGTTTTTCATGTGTTCAATATTTTCAGTGTAATGCAGTTTCAGTCCATAACATTTTATCTTTCATGATCCAAAATTACAGTTGTATCTTTCAACATGCATACCTTCAAAGGCATTGATGCACTATCAAATAAATACAAACATTTTTTCATATACACAGCAAAGTATTCACATGTACATACATAGTAAAGTATTCAGGGTTTTCATATACATTGCAAATACGAAGTATACAAATAAAGATGACATCAAATAAATATTTTTAACATAAAAAAAATATTTGAATACAAATGAAATACAAATACATAGCATGAAGATGCACTATATTAAGTGGAAGACTTCACCAAGCATTTAGAATTATGGGATATTATTTTTTTCACAAAACAATTATTATTATAAACAATAAACATTTACACAACAGGAAAAAAAAATTACAAGACATTTCATACGAAAAACCTGGTTCAGGCAAAACATAAACAATGAACACTAAGAAGGAAAAAAATTGT